TGTTATTGTATTTATACTTGTTCCTTTTGATCCTCGGGGTCAGGGCCTATTTTTTAATCATTGTTCTTTCTCTTATTCGGCTCTAAGGATCTACACTTATTCGGCATATGTATTGTATTCGACTTCCCATTCTCGTAGGATACAGCCGATTAATATCAGTCTTCTAAGGTACGCACCTTCTGATCTTGCCATTTATTCGGCTCCCACAATTATCAATTATAGGTTGAATTAAGTTTTGAAAACTATTTTGAAAACTTATCACCAAACAAATTTTCTTATTTCACATGTCACATCAAACTTTCAAAACTTAATTCCACATACAATTCAAAACTTTATTTAACACTCTATTCAAAAACCATACCCAAACAAATTTTCTACACTCAAATCATAATTCCACAACTCACAAACTCAAAATACAACTCATACTCTCAAATCATATTTACAAAACTCTACCAAACGCAACCAAAAATTTCACTAATTTCCAAACAATCAATTGACATATAACATTCAACGCCATTAAGTGTAAATTTAAGAGTTATATTTTAAATGTCTTAAGTATTTTTTACTTTTAATTTACTAAATTATATTTGACATGGGTAAGCCCATAAAGGATACGGCCCACCACTTAAGGCCCAGTCCATGATTCAAATAGTAAAGCCCAACATTCTTGAAACCCAACGTTACACCAAGTACCAATGAAGTTTAAACACTTGGCAGGTGAAGAACTGGTCACATCAGCAGACAAAGATCCTGCAGAGTTATTGCACCACACATCAACCATTAATGAGTTTCCCTGTAACATTTATTACGATAACCTTTCACGTCGGAACGGAACAGCCTCACCATGAACAAGGTAAGCTAGAACATAGACTTTTGGCCAACATGACAGTTCGGAGTGGACAAGGAAATGATGAGCAAATGATATAAGCAGACTTCTAAGACAAAGAAATAGTTAAGTTATCTATCACCATCCTATCTCTACATTCCCTTACTCTCATTTCTCTAACTTGCTCGTCGGAGGGTTCGCTGGGGGACTCCCTGTTCCCCGCTGAACTCTTTTGCAGGTTTCTCTGTGGGTTCAACCCTCGGACAACGGTTTGGGAAGCGTGGATCGATCCAACTCGTTCCACTTGGAGCACCTAGTACCAAGTATCATCAATATTAATTAATAAAATAGCATAAAACGGCGGTTTAACCGATTATATATTGATATTTCAAAACTTTTAAAAATTAACATATTATTTGTTCGATTTATTTAATTTTCTTGTAAGATACCTTATTTCACAAAGTTTAATTAATAATGTATCAAAATTAATTTAATACCTTTTATGCATATAGAATGGTCCCGCGGGTGTTTCAAAATGTAGTTTAAAATTTTTTAACTTTTAAATAATTTTTTTTGAAAAAATATAAAAATAAATAAAATAATAATATCACATAAAAAAAAAAATCAAAAACACTAAAAAAATTAACTTTTAACCCCACACTATAGGCCAAAATTCCTAATTCTGCCTTGCAGAGAAAGGAGCGTACTGCAGGCCATCACTTTGGTTCATAAAAAGCACATGGGCGGGGTTATCAAAATTATTAGATAAGAGTTTTTGGGAAAAAAAAAAAAAAAAAACTTTTTATTCATTTTAGATCATATTACTGTTTATATTTTTTTATTCATAAAAAATAAAATAAACTAAAAAAATTAAAAAATTAACTTTTTATCAACTTTTCAAAACACTCCATAATAGTCTCTTTGAAACTCTCAAAATTTATGGTAAATTATAAATATATTCCTTACGATTTATTTAAATTATAAATTATTTCTTGTAATTTTAAAAATTACATTATGTCGTCTAAGGTTTCTAATTTTATAATAAATAGATCATTTTATTAATAAATCATCAAATTAATTAATAGTTTTGAATAATATTAAAATTTTATTTCAATTAATTATTCAGATAATTTTATTATTGTATATATATATTTTAATTAATAATTCAAATTATTTTATTACCGTATTGATAAATAGTTAATAATTTCATTTTTTAATTAACTCTGTTAAATAAAAAATTCTAACAATGAAATATTTGTAATTTTTTAAATTATAAAAATAATTTATATTTTAAATAAATCTCAAAAAATATATTTATAATTTATTCCAAAATTTATAAAAGCATCCCCACCGACATCTTGTGACAAGACATATTCGACCAATACATTAATATTCAAAAAATATTATCATATATAAAATTTAGGATTGTTTAGAATAATCTAAACAAGTACACTTAGTCATAAAAGACAAAATAGATTATTTTAGCCACAAAAAACAAAACATCACATCCAACTCATAATCATTACATTCTTCTCTCACAAAAAAAGTCAAAAAAATCAAAAAGTCAAAAAGCCCTTCCCAAACCAAGCTTTTTAGCTTAGGCTAAAATAATCAAAAAAACAAAAAAACCAACCCACTTCCCAAACAAAGGCTTAATAAGTTTGTTGTGATGATTTGGGTGAGTCTATCATGATCGGGTCTATTCATATAATTTAAATGGTTTATATTGTAAAGTTAATCGTACACATTTAAAAAAAAAAAAATCACAACAACACATAAGTTTTGAGAGGGAAAGATTCACATTAAATCTAATCCAATATTTTTTTTTGTTGATACATAAAAAGGCCAAATAATTATTTCATAATTTCAAAACATGATATGACATTGTAATTTTATCCGTATAATATATTAATTCATATTTATTAAATAATTAAAAAAATAAATAATAATTCACTTGATATGTTATAATTTTTTATTAATGGATAATATCATGTTAATATCTAACAATTGATTATTCCTGAAAATTTTACTTGCATGTTCAGGTCCGTTTGGTTTTCATTTTGAGGCTAAAATGTACAAAAAGATAAAATAGGCTATGTAAGTCAACAAGATAAATTATCACATTCAATCAATAATCGTTATATTTTTTCTCTCACAAAAGTAAAAAAAACCCAAAAATAAAAACCAAACCAAACGAAACTAAGGTGTCGTTTGGGAAGAGCTCCTTTGGACTCTTTTGGCTCTTTGAGCCACAAAAGACAGAATATGTTATTTGAGCCACAACAGACAAAACATCACATCCAACCCATAATCATTACACTCTTCTCTCACAAAAAAAGTCAAAAAGTCAAAAAACCCTTCTCAAACCAAGCTTTTAAGCTCAGGCTCAAATAGCCAAAAAATCAAAAAGCCAACCCACTTCCCAAACGGAGCCAAGTTAAAAAAGTTTTACACAAAAAAAGTTAACAACCGTAGCCAATGTCATACGAAGCTTTAGAGAGAGAATGAGAAGCCACATAAATAAGTAATCATTACAAGTATTTAAAAGAATAAGTTGTTGTTTGGCATGTGCTATTTTAGCACATTCTCCTATTTAGATAACAATCATCTTATTTAAATTACACCACATCTACCATATCATTTCAAACCTAACTTATATTTTAACTTTTTTTTTAATTTATAAAAAGTCAAAAAATATACTAAAACCCTTAAATAAAATTATTTCTCTGTTTCAAGACTCTTATTTTTTTTTTTTAATCACTTACAAAGTTGATCCAGCACTAATAAATCCTACCATAATTAGGGTTTTTTTGAAAAGATGATTAAAAATTGACTTTTATCTTTTTTTTAGACATTTTTTGAAAAAAAAAAAAACTTATAAAACATAAGAGATAATATAATTCAAAATGAATTAAAAACTGAAAAATAACTTGTAATCATCCTTTCAAAATAGCGCTCAATGAAACAACTCTTTCTTAGGATTGATCGCAGAGCATTTTACTTCCTCCTCCAAAACATTAATAATTTATGATTAGAGAGGTAAAACAAGTTATGTTACTCGAAGTGGATTAAAAAATTATTTAAAATTGACTCTTTATATAAAGGGTAAATTATACTTAAACTCTTGTGATTTGATTCAATTACATTTCACTCCATGATATTTTGGAAATTACATTTCTACTCCAATGGTTAATAGTCTTATTTCACAAGTCTTCATACTTATATAAAAAACAACAACTCCTAATAGAAAAATAGAGAAAATTACATTGAAAAAAAAAAGTAAAGGAAAGGAAAGGAGAAGAAAAAACAAAGGAAGTAAAATAAAGTAAGAAAAGAGAGAATCCATGAGTTCAATATCTTCATTCCGTCTAAATAATTACAATGGCAGAGGGATTAGTGTAATTTTTCAAATATCAACCTAAACCTCAATGGGTATAAGTGTAATTTACCGTTATATAAATAAATTGAATTTAAATATATTCAAATTTTGTTAATTTTTAAACCCGACTTGATAAATTTATATATATATTATAAAAATTTAAACTAACTAATATTTAACAACTTATTATTAACTTAAAGGTTGTTTGGGATGATCTAAATAAGTGCATTTTCTGACTTTTTACGAAAAAAATGTGAAATATGAGTTGAGTTTGAAGTGATGTAGTAGAGAGATGATGTGATTTAAATAGGATAGTGATTTTTTAACTTTTTAAATTTTTTAAATTATGTCAAACTAGGCCTTAATTCAAATTTTTGACCACCTTAACAATAATCAAACAAATATAAAAAAAATTGAAATATATTTAATGAATTAATGATATTCATATCCTACTTAATGTCTTGTACTCTCTTTGTTAGAGATTATAAAAATAAATAAATAAATTAAAAAAATCAGATGCTTAAAGTGAAGTGTAAATATGATTGTTTGTTCCCTTACAAAGATATGTTTGGATTCGAAAATTATATGTCGGGTAATGTATCTTTTTGTTCCTCTGTTGATTATTATTATTATTATTATTATTATTATACTATATGAATATTTGTATCCTAAAGAGGAAGGGAGTGCTACTAGTGAGACATAAATAATAAAAAATGAAAAAAACATAATAATATTGTACTTGTAGTTTAATTATTTTGATGAACACTAAAACCATACATTATAGTAACAAAAGAGTTTACTATCTAAAAGAAATCATATGATTGAATTTCACGAATATCAAACATCTCAAATTTTAAGATTATTAACTTCAAGTATCTGGATTAGTCGAGTTGCGGCTAAAGTGCTCTCTCACTTGATTATCAGAAAAATAAAAAATAAAAAACAATAACACAACAATGAACAAAACTTAAAATAGTATAACCAAAGCAATTAACAAGAAACTAAAACTGTAAGACGCCAAGATCTTATCTCCATATCTACTTTCTTCTGAAGATCCTACTGCTGGAAATGGAGGGATGCTCTGTTCATTTCTGAAGAAATTTTGTGGATCAACCATGGTCTTCACTTTCACCAACCTATCAAGATTACCCTTAAAATACTTCTCCCCAAACACCTTACCTTCACTGTAACTATTCTTCCCATTGTGTGTGATTCCAATATCAACATCTCTGTAGCACAGAAATGACTCTCTAGGGAACTTTGACACAAATGGAGTCATGAAACTGTATAGCTCTCTAACTTGATTCAAATTGTTGTTCTCTGCTGCAACTCCTTCCTCATCCCAATTCAATGAGTACTGGATTTTGAATATGTTCCCGGCCCGGTGAGGGAACGGTGTCGCGGCCGCCGGGATTTCACCCATTCTCCCTCCATATGGATTGAACACAAATCCAGGTTTTCCCAATTCCATCATCTTGTTCCAAATCGATTCCAACCCGACTTTAGAAATCGGAGTTTGGAGATAATCTGATTTTCTTTTCGAAAATTTAGCGGCATAGGTTCTATCTAGCAACACATTTGTGGAGTTGTTTGGGTCGAAATTTGCCCAGTAAAGCACAGATTGAATCCAACTCATTTCCATACAATCCTGTTTTTGCAAACCCAATTCAGGAAAGTCTCTGTTCATCACTGTCATGAGTCTATTTGAATCACCAAGAAACAATGAAATGAACGATGTTCTAATTGTTTTCTTACCGGTTTGTTTGTTAACAATTGGTTGTATAAGAAGCCTAACAAATAAATCATTATCAGTCTTGTTCGCCACGAATTGCCATCGATATACAATGTCTGTCGCATTCTGTTCCAATGTCTTCTCAACCCGAAAAACCGTTACAGTTTCGGGCACCAGAACAAGCCTAATCTTATACGACAGCACCACCGCAAAGCTGGCGGCGCCGCCACCAGCCACCGCCCAAAACAAGTCCTCACCCATTGCTTTCCGATCCAAAACCCGGCCATTAACATCTACAATTCGAGCATCGAGCACGTTATCGACCGATAACCCGTACTTTCGCAACATGTTGCCGTAGCCGCCGCAGCCGAGGTGGCCGCCGACGGCGATGGTGGAGCAAGCTCCTGCGGGGAAACCGTGGGTTTTGCTGATGGATGCGATTTTGAAGTAGAGTTCGCCGAGGGTGGCTCCGGATTGGACCCAGGCGGTGTTGGTGGTGGTGTCGAGAGAGATGGAACGCAGGTTGAACGTGTCGAGGATGATGAAGGGGACGCCGGCGGCGGAGACGTAGGAGAGGCCGTCGTAGTCGTGGCCACCGCTGCGGATTTTGAGCTGTTTTCCGGTGAGTTTGGAGCAGAGAACGGCGGCCTGAACGTGGGTTTCGTAGAGGGGGGTGATGATGATGAGTGGTTTTGGGGTGGCGGCGGTGGCGAAGCGGAGGTTTCGAATATAGGATTGGAGGATGGTGGTGAATGATGGGTTGTTTGGAGCATAGACTATGGTGGAGATTTGGTTTTGTGGGATTGAGTGGTTTGAGAGACATTGAACAAAAGTGTCATAGTCTGAGGCTGCCATTGATAGAGGAAGTAGAAGAAGAAGAAGAAAAAAATGTGATGGTGAAGTTTCTTCCATTGTTTGCTTTTTTTGTTTTTGTTTTTGTTTTATTTTGTTTTGTTTTGTTTTGTTTTGGGTATGGGAAAGATTTGAGAGAACTATTGTTGGTTATGTGCAAACCATGTATATAAAGATTCTATGGTTTGGAGCGGGGTTTACTTTTGGAGTAATTATTCAATGCGGTAGGAGTAATACTTGTATTTTATGGTGGGGGAAGGTGTTGCCGCCGCTGGAATTTCACTCATTCTCCCTCCATATGGGTTGAAGACGAATCCAGTTTTTCCCAATTCGATCTTCTTTTTCCAAATCGATTCCAACCCAGTTTTTGAAATCGGAGTTTGGACATAATCTGATTTTCTCTTCTGAAAATTAGCAGCATAGGTTCGATCGAGCAGGACGTTTGGGGATTGGTTTGGGTTGAAATTTGCCCAGTAAAGCACAGATTGAATCCAACTCATTTCCATCAGGAAGGTCTCCGTTCATCACTGTCATGAGTTGATTTGAATTACCCAGATACAATGAAATGAATGTTGCTCGAATCGTTCACACCCTTTTGTGTTCTACTACTAATTGGCAGAATCAGAAGCCTCATAAACAACCCATTATCGATCTTATCTGCAACGAATTGCCATCAATGAACAAAGCTCTGTTGCGTTCTGATCAAATCCTTTCACAACCCGAAAAACCGTCACAGTTTCCGGCACCGGAACAAGCCTAAATAGTAGTGACGATGAGAAGGGGTTTGGGGATGGAGGAGGTGTTGAAGCGGCGGTTGCGGATGTAGGATCGGAGGACGGTTGGGTAGGATGGGTTGCGGATGTCAAGGTTTGACAGTAGGGAGGTTGAATCTAATGTGGTGAACTTTTCTCCATTGCTTGCTTTCTTGCTTGTTTTGTTTTATTTTATTTATTTATTTATTTTTCCGTTTTGTTTTGGGTAATGAGAAAATGTGTCCCTGGGTTACAATTTGAAAACATAAAGGAAAATGCCATGTATTTTAAATAATTTATTAAATTTTTTATTAAACTTATCTCATTTTAAAACTTATCTATAAGACCTATCCCATTTAAGCCCATCTTAGGTTTCGTTTGGGAGATAATTTTTGATTTTTTTGACTTTTAACTTAGGCTTAAAAATTTTGCTTGGGTTAGTTTTTTTGGGTTTTTTTTTTTTTAATTTTTGTAATAAAAAATGAAATGATTATAATTTTAATATGATATTTTATTTTATTAATTTTTTAATTTATTTTTTTCTTTTATTATTATTAATTTAGCCAAAAAAGTCCTCGTGCCAAACGCTAAGACTTTTTATGCTATGGTATGCCAAAAAAAAAAATGTTTATATATCAATACTTGAAATAAATAAAGAAAATTGTAATTCGGTGGGATCTTCACAAAATATTTATAAATTTGTAAAAATTTATAACTTTAATTATTAAAGTTGATAAAATTTATCACTAATTTCAAATAATTTTTGAAAATTTCCGCCAATTTGTGATTTTTCCAAATAAATAAAGGTAATCCTATTTACGTGCAAGTACCATCTGTACCATTGGAGATGCCTCGACAATATTATAAATAAATTATTTATTAGTTTATTTAAATGATACCACTTTTTTACTTTACGTTTTTTCTTAGTAAGTAAAAAAGTTAAATTATGAAGGGGGATTTAATCAAATTCTTTTCATAATAAAATTTTAATGTATTAAAAATAATCATAATTTTTTTTTTTAAAGTCCAAAATATTATTATCAATAAAGGTTGAGACCCCCTTTGGGGTCACCCCTTCACCCCCTTTGCATTTGATTGGCTAACTTTTTTTTTTTTTTTCCTGATCTCCCAATCCCCAACCCCCACGTGTGTGTGGGGTGGTGGGGGTGAGACTTTTAAGGGAGTATGAATCATTGCTCTTTAATAAAATTAGTATTTGTAGAATCATTTCATCAAGATTTATCAAATAAGATCTATATTGACTATAAAATTCTTAAAATATAAAAAATAAAAAAAATTACCTTTGAAATTAACACAAATAATAACATATTATTTTAATTTACAGTAATATTTTACTGTAATATATATGGCCATTGAGACATGTGAATTTAGTTCCCATCTACCATAGTCAAATTTGGGCCCAGAAACAAAATATATATATATATATATACAATCATGTTCTAATTTAAATTAATCTTATTCGGAACTTAGTGAAAATAACCAAATGATTTGTACATGCAGTTAAGCTATCTTCAAATGCAATTATTACAACCCTTTTCGTTGAAACCTTTTTTTTTATGCTTTACCATACTTAAGGAATCCTATTTAAAATTGATCTTCCCCAAAACAAAATATATAAAGGTAAAAGTTATGGATGATGAAATTTTTTTTATGAAAATGATCATGAAATATTTATAATTTTTGAATTATCTTGATTAGTGTGTGGTACTTTATTCTAAGTGTAATTTAAGAGTCACAAAACTTTCTGATTAGTTTCATGAAAGGTTTTTTATGATACCTAGTATTGCTGATAAATAAATTGTTTCAAAGCAGGTTACTAAGAGTATTTCCAATCCACCCTTTATACCTTCATATTTAAAGGATTTGCTCCTTTAACCCATCTTCTAAATAGGGTCGGCCCTGGGGCATAGGCCACAAGGCCATGGCCTAGGACCTATCAAAATAGATTAACAAAATGGGCCCCTCCTATTATAATTTAGTGTAATATATTACGTATGTTTTAAGTTTAAAAAAAGGGCAAATTACATATACTCCCTCGAGGTTTAACTAAATTACAGATACCCCCTGAAGGTTATATTTTCATAACAAATTAGGGAGCAGTTTGTTATAAAAATATAAACCTCATGCGGCAAGTTGCTATGAAAATATAAACCTCAGGGGGTATCTGTAATTTTCGAAACCTCAGGGGGTATTTATAATTTAGCTAAACCTCGAGGGAGGTATATGTAATTTGCCCTAAAAAAAATTTAAAAAGGCTCATACTAACTTAAAATAAATTGACCCATTAAAAAATTAAAAGGCTATTCAAAAAAATTAGCATTGTTATCAATTGAAAATAGACCCAAAAAAACGGGTCTCTCTTATTATAGTTTAGTCTAATATATTAAGTATATTTTAAGTCCAAAAAAAATTAAGGAAGGCCCAAATTAACTTAAAATAATTGATCCATTAAAAAAATGAAAGGCCCATTTAAAATAATTAGCATTGTTATTCATTGAAAATGATTTTACAAAAAAATTAGATTATGCAAGTATGATTGATTTATTTGCTTCTAAAAATACAAGAAGAGTGAGGATCAAGCGATACTTATTAGTTATTGTAATGTAATAATGTAATACTAAGTATTTTTTGTGATTTTGATACAAATCTTTTGTCCTTTACTTTTAAATTTCTTTTCTCATTCAATGGAAAAAAAATGTGAATGGCCCAGAAATTTATTAGTTGATTATCGGCTTTGGACCCTGGAAATCTCAGGGTCGGGCCTACTTCTAAATCCATCTCTATTTGGAAGGAGAATGGATTGATCCTTCATATTTGGAGGGAGGATGAAAAATAGAGGATCCTCTCTAAAATACTATTCATTTTATATTTTTTATTATATTACAAATAACTTTTAATATGTAAATTTAATTTTCATAAAATTGGCATCATTAAAAAGGATAAAATAATACCTTTAAAATGCTTATAATATTAAATATATTTTACAAAAAATATAGAATTAAATATTTGTTAATGAACAAAAATTATTTACTTTTTGATGAAAATATTTTCCAAAGAAATCTTTAGAAAAGAAAATGATGATTAATGTTTTAAAAAAATGCCCAACAAGTAAAAAAATAAAATAAAAAATTGTTGTTGACCGACCAGACAGTAACGAGCAAGGATCCTCTCCTTACCTTCCCTACTTCACTTTCTCCTTGCAATGGTCAAGATTCATTTTAAGAGAATTTAATGGTGTAGATCATTCTAAAAAAATTATTTTTTAATTTTTAATAAAGTAATCTGAGCCATTAAATTCTTTTAGAATGAATTTTAACCATTGCAAGGAGGAAGTGAAGTAGGGAATGTAAGGAGAGAATCCTTGCTCGACAGTAACACCCAATCCGGAAGAAAATGAAGGTTTGTGTTTGGAATTTGAATAAATAGTGACATACTTGATTTTTTTTTTTGAATAAAAAAATTTATTTTCATCCTCTTAGTAAGAGGATTGGGTTGGAGATACTCTAATGTGGTTATTAAAAACTGATTTGTCCCTATCAATTATGTACCTAGTTGTAAAAATCGTCTTCGCAATACAGTGGAATTCAAGTAACACTATTTATTAATATGCTTCGTGCCCAAAAGAAGATTGACTTGCAATACCCAAAATTAAGACAAATAAAATCAGGTTTTGAAATTTTATCTCTACCGAAAATAGAACAGAGAAAAGAAGAATAGAGTAATTTTGAATTCAAGATAATTTCTATTTGAGCAGACTAATTTTTTGGTATTTATTTAGATCATATATCATGATTATTTTCAACAGTGGAGTCTCTCAAACATTTCCCCTCAAACAACTCAAATTTTAAACTCTTCCAAACGATCATTAACTCATAACTACCAAAAAGTACTGTTGTGGCAGCTGGTTAATATTGATTAAAAGAATAAAAAGGATGATGATTGCTAGTGTTATCAAGTCACCACATGCTTTGCTCTTTTTTTTTTTTTTTTAGTGATGGAATATATTAATTCATCAATTCACTTCTATTTTATTTTTTAAATTTTTTTTTTTAAAGTTTTGTGGACAACCGTGACTGGAGTTGATCTGAGAATATTTTTTGTAACAAAATTTTGATTTTTATGGATAAAAAACTTAATCTTTAAAATTCTTATGTATTATAATCATTCTTTATAAAAATATGTTCTAAAAATATATAAACATTTTGATGTCATTTGGGAATTGGGTTGGTTTTTTGATTTTTTAGCTATTTTAGTCTGGGGCTAAAAAACCTAATTTGGGAAGGACTTTTTGACTTTTTAACTTTTTGATGAGGTGTCTTCCTATTAAATGATCAAACTGCCCTTGAAGTGATTTTTACATGTCAACTCTTTGCCTTACATCCTCCACGTCAGCGTCATTGGACTGGAATTTAATTTATTTTTATTTTTTTTTGGATTAGGCGTATTTTTATGATTTTTTTTAATTTACGTTTTTTTCATTTTTCTTTTTGTATACATTAATTTGTTCTTTTTCTTTAATTTACGCTTTTGTCTTATTTATTTTTATTGGTATATAATAATTTGTTTTTATTTTTCAAAAATGGATTTTTATGTGTTTATTTATTTGTAAATTACGTGGCAAATGCTAATTTCTGTTTTTATGTTTTTATTTTTTTGGATGAGGTGTATTTTCGTAGTTCTTTTTTTTTTTAATTTATGTTTTTGTCATTTTTTTTATTTCTATACATTAATTTGTTTTTATTTTTCAAAAATGGGTTTTCATGTGTTTTATTTATTTGTAAATTACATGGCTAATGCTAATTTCTATTTTCATGTTTTTATTTTTTATTTTTTTGGATGAGGCGTATTTTTGTGGTTCTTTTTTTTTTAATTTACGTTTTTGTCAATTTTTTTTAATTTTTATACATTAATTTGTTTTTATTTTTCAAAAATGGGTTTTCATGTGTTTTCATTATTTTTAAATTATGTGGCAAATGCTAATTTCTGTTTGAATTTTTTTTTTTTTTGGATGAGACTTGCTTGAGACTTATTTGTGTGGTTTTTTTTTTTTTTCATTTACGCTTTTGTCAATTTTTTTTTTTTATTTGTATACATTAATTTGTTTTTAGTTTTCAAAAACGATTTTTCATGTGTTTTCATTATTTTTAAATTATGTGGCAACTGCTAATTTATGTTTTTTATTTTTTACTTTGTTTTTTTTTTGGAAAAACGTTTTTTCATGTCATTTATTTAAAATGATGTGAAAAATCATTTATTGCCGTGGCACATGATAAAAAATGATGTTTGCTTTGGCTTTTTGTTGTTTTAAACAAGTCTTTTTATGTTTTTAATTGACGTCGCACATAATAATTTTTGAATTTATTTTTTTTTATTTTTCTTATTTGTTTGACCTTGTTTTTTTTTCGAAAATGATTTTTTCTGTGGTTTTTGGTTTTTCAAAGTTAGGCACGTCACGAACTGAAAGGGATTATATTCCCGTGTAAACACATACATATTGTACATGATAATATAGTTGAATACAGTCTGGTTCACGTGTGTTACCAATGTTCGAACCCTACGAATATTATGTGGACTATTATATATTTTCTAACATTCCGTTATTACGCAAGTACACTAACTTGTCGCGTATGCGAAGTCGCATCAATGCCATTTGCGGGTCCTCATCCCCAACCATTAAATCATCATTGTCATGCTCAACTTCTGGTATGGCATTTACTATTGTCATAGCCTCTTCCTCATCGCAGATTAGGTGAACAGTTGTTGGATTACCTGTATTTCGCCGTATATAATTATGTAATGCCATTGACGCACTTACTAACAAAACTTGCACATTTGCAAAGTCATACCGAGGCATGTCTCTAATAAACCCCCATCGATTTTTCCAAGCACCGAAAGTGCGTTTCACCACACTGCGTAGCGACGAGTGCACTTTGTTAAATAATTCCCTTGAGGTTTTTGCCGTCCTATTCTGTTGACTACGTCGGAATTGTTGTTGGTGGTAACGGTTGCCTTTGAAAAGTGCTAGGTAACCTACCCGGTTTGGATAACTAGCATCGACAAGATAATATTTGCCTGCAGACAGTACAAGAATTTATGACATGAAAATCGGCATTGTGCTTCATTTTCAAGTAACGATGTTTGCCGAAAAATTATACCCCCATCGAATTTTCAAGGCAATGTATTACCTTCTTCAGGATGTGGAAATGTGACATTGTCATTTATTAGTATCTCGTTGAAGATGCGACTATCGTGCATACTTCCTTCCCATCCGCACGAAATGAAGATGAAACACATGTCAAAATCGCACGCGGCCATGATATTTTGCGTGTGACAGTATTTCCTACCGAAATATGTTGCCGTATCTGGCCCTGTAACCCATGCACTTACATGTGTTCCGTCTATGGCTCCAATGCAGTCTTGCCAACAACCCAATTGCATTGTTACTCCTACGGGTACATGTAATGGTTGTTTTCATATGTCATGTCCACTTAAAAATAAAAACAACATAACTGGACTTGGCACAAATAACTGTTGGAGGTTTAGTCAATAGTACCTTGAACGGTAAGTATTTCTGTTTAGACCGCACGTATGGATGTATACGATGCTGACTATATGTGGACCAGCAATAAACAACAGTGAACTCTTTCATGGAAATTAATACGTTATGCCGTGCCGAGACACAGTCTCCCCCGAATATTGGAGCCGTTATTGGATTTCCCGATTTTGCTTTCCTTTCAACACATGAATAAACATTGCAACGCTTTCTTCAACAGCTAATCTATGTGAACGTTGCGGTACTTGTAACCCAAAATCATTTACTAATGTCTCACACAAAGCGGCAAAAACTTGCTTCGGCATGCAAACATTTTCCTCAAATCGACTTATATGGCCCACATATAGTTCGGATATCCATGCATGCCCGGTCAATATAGAAGTGCGACATGCCTCTATGACATACTTTACTCCATCCAATGATGTAACATTATTTACAAGTTAAATTACAAAGTCAATCCGCGCAGCTCAATAGTCAAGATCATATACAGATCTATTGAGGGCTTACTAATTCATCACGGCTTCGTTGATGCGAAATCTACAATAGTGGCACTGTTTCAATCAATTTGCACGTGATGCATTGACTCAAATGTAATAACAGTTTGCAATTACAGAGTGCCGACATAATTCTTAATGTAACAAATTTGCGTCACCAATTCCATTACTAACGCGTTACATTTCATATAACTGCACGTACAATGACATGAATTAAACAAATAGTGAACCTGGTTTTAATTGTTTAGAGGGGGACCATTAACACAGCAATGGCATTACTACACAACCACAAAAGAACCACAACAAAATAAATAAATACAAAAGCACCATATGTAGCCCGTCGTTGCACATTTTATTCCCAAAAATAAAATTCAAACACATGGAGACTATTCCATCCCAAAAAGACACACAACCATTATTCCATCCTAAACTAGGACAAACATGCCAACCTTTGTTCACCATAACTAGCCCAAAAAAAAAAAAAAAACTAAAAACAGTTTAAAACATGCACACATAACCATCCTGTTTTAGTATAGTTCCAATAATAACTTAAATAAAAGTTGTGCAACGCAAGAGAAGGGCATGCATCTTCAGCATTACACCGCTATATCACATCCGACAAGCTCCAAACAGGTTCGCAAACGGCGCTGACGTAGTACAGTGGAGCTGCTTCTGTGTAAGCCACCCTACAATGTGGTCGTCATCAGGCTGGCACATCATCACCTCCCGATAATTTGCGTTATCCAAAAGTGTCGAGGCGAAATGAAATAGCGGGGTACCAATAAGGGAAGGAATATTCGTCAACCGATGCATGCACTCCGAAATTGTGTACAGTGATTCATTACATGTGAGGTGCCTCATCATTACCTGCTGATTCTAGGTACGAACCACATTTGCTAGATTGTTCATGCTTTCCGCAATAACTGACGCTCCATTTGTTGCCTTCTTCGATTTTGAAACACTTGTTGATGGCGTCTTTCTCCTTTTTCCCTTTTCAACCGGAACAGGTTCGAGTGAAGAATTTGAATCGACGTCCTGTACTCCTCGGGGTATCGTATCAGCAAATGGTTGCGCTCTCAAACTGTGCACAAAATCAAACGAGTCATCGGCAGCTTCAGGAAGTTTCTCTCCCGGGGTCCAATGGTGCTTACCAGTCACTGATGCCCCGGTAAAGACCGTCTCCATCAAGTCACAATGTTCCAAAGTTTTTTTCCTGAACTTGGCACACACCTTGTTTATCTGCACAATTGGAGATTTATGAAACTATAAGACGTTACATTTCATATAACAAGTAATGCAGTTAACGAAACAAAGGTTAAATTTACTGGTAATAGACAAAGATGAAACGAAACAAATATGTACTTACCGATTTCATCTTGTCCCACCACTCCTCAGATGCCTGAAACATACCAGTTTTGCTGTCAAACCCTATCCCTGACACTCATTTGCTTGAATCCATCAACTTTGTCCACGCTTGCCACTCTTTTTTCGAACTCATGCATTTCTTCTTCAACTGTTTGAGGCCATGTTTTCTTCCTTTTTTTTCTCAAATTTTCGTGCCAAAGACTTGTACCCTGCTTGGCTGAGGACTAGGAATGGCCGATTTCCTTTTGTAATCTCATTTGCAATCAACTGTAAAAAAATTCAGATTGAGTCATTGTCCCATGAGGCCTTGTGGCTGAACAGAGTCTGTGTCTCTTCAAGACTGCTTGACTTCTCTGTCACAATGCCTTTGCTTTTGGATTGTGTACGCGGAGAAGTATGTATGAAAGCCATTACCGACAACGATGCAGCTAACTAATGTAGCGTTACAAAATATCGCCATTACATATTTGGTTGTTATATACAAACGTATAAGCCCATAGCAAAATAATTTAAATTGGTTGCATGATGCACAATCTATGTCCATGAACAATAAACAGACAAATAGGATGGTAAATTTGATAGCATATAACCATTGCACAGTAATAAAATACATAAATAAACATGCAACTGAGCGGTGGACATAGTTATGATAGTCATTAATACGTCTACCATTTCCTAGTGGAGGAACGCAAAACAAGCTTATAGCCATACAAAAAGATACTAACAACGTACTAACAACCTCTTAACGTTCCGAACATGCCAAAAAGTCATCCAAATGTTCCTTACATACGCAATAACAAAATGACAATGACAATGCATAGCATAGACACAATGGTCTTAAGGAGACGCAAAGATTGTTGAATGTGTATGACATCATCCCGCAATTGCATAACAATGTCGTTTCTGGATGACGCATAGTTCGTGCTCTCTCGCCTTGGTTCTTCGTACCAACCAATCCAACTGACACAGGGCTGATGAGTGGAAATTATGAAACTATTAGTCAATGGGTTCTTAATGTTCATGCAGTTATGACCAGTAATGAATTGGGCACTCACCACAGGGCGGGGACACGCAAAGTAGGCACGCCTTGGATTTTTGGTGCACCTTGAAATCTTAACAATGTAGGGGCCATGTTCGCAGGCACACATTCGACGTGGCCATGTACTAGAAGTTGCACTAGAGGTAAATGAAGCCATGCTATGTTTGACAAACATTCGAAAGTAACAATGAATCATAACAGTAATTAGTTTATGATATCCATATTTCAGGTTAAACATGAACTGAATACGTTGATGCACAAGTTTCATAGGATGGGTTTACAAACTCATTATTTTATTCATTTTATGTTAAAGAAAAACAACATACCAGTTATGGTTTCACTGTCAACATGTTTGTAAAATGAAAATTTTAAACTAAAATAATGACAAATCCCCACATTATATAAACTGAATATTTTACTTCCTCACATTATCGCCTTCAATTAAAATTATGCCAAAGGTCAAGCACTGAAATGTTTTTTTTACATTTCTGATAAATATGTCAATGAAAACAAAAATCAATTACTTTCTGCCATATGCAATCGAGTGCTCCAATGGCAAGTTTACATTCATGAATCCACAATATAATAATAGTGTAGTTGAAGTTCCATACATTTTCTAATAACAGTTTGAAATGTCCAGTGTAATGAGAAGTGAAGTTGAATAACCACAAAAAAAAATCTCATATATATGAATGAAGCCACATATGAATACAGATTTTTTGAAGAGACATGGAGACATTCTCAATCAAAGGAAGTGGTGTGGACATCTGGGTTTATGAGAGGTTTGTAGGGCTGGAAAATTGATTCTATACTTTTGATCTGCAGAAATGTAGATGTACAAAAGAGGCAGACGTTATATTTCATATAAATAAATTGCAGTTCATTTAAATGAAGAACTAAAAAATGTACTTGTAAATGACAGATATGAAACTTGTTTGTACATGTACTTACTGATTCCATCTTGTCCCACCACTCGTCAGGTGCCTGAAACAAACCGGTGTCATAGTCAAAGCCTATCCCGGACACTCCCTTACTTGAATCCATCAAGCATCTGGCCCCGTAACCCATGCACTGACATGTGTTCCGTCTATTGCGCCAATGCAGTCCTGCAAACATGGATAAATTGTTAATAACAAGTGTTTCCTTCTTGCCAAGCGTCAAGTGCAGTTAATAACAAAAACAAAATATATTTTCTTGATTTATATGTCAATCAGGTATTTCCGTCTAGAAGTACCTTGAACGGTAGGTATTTCCGTCTAGACCGCACGTATGGATGTATACGATGCTGACTGTATGTGGGCCGGCAATGAACAACTGTGAACTCTTTCATGGAAGTTAATACGTTATGCACGTGCCTCGACACAGTCTCCCCGGAATGTTGGAACCGTTCTTGGATTTCCCGATTTTGCTTCCCTTTCAACACATGAATAAACATCGCAACGCTTTCTTCAACAGCTAAGCCATGTGGACGTTGCGGGACTTGTAACCCAAAATCATTTACTAATGTCTCACACAATGCGGCAAAAACTTCCTTCGGCATGCAAACGGTGGTGGCACCAACAACCACATTTAGCCTCCGTTTAGGGAGTGGGTTGGCTTTTTAGTTTTTTGGTTTTTTTAGCTATTTTAGTCTGGGGCTAAAAAGCCTGGTTTGGGAAGGG